TTTTATTATTTATTCATTCAGTTTGCGTGGTGGAGTTTTGCGAGTTTATTATTTTTCGCGACATTCTTTGTTTACTTGTGATGGTTTGAGGGATTTCAGTTTATTTGATTTATGTTTTTGCGGTAGCTCTGAGCGGGACTCGAACCCACGGTCTTTTCAAGCTAATTTTGTTTTATTTTGATGGCACGCTTATGTACCACGCCACGACGTTGGTCGTTGAGTGGTGTTCATTTTTCTAACTACTCCAGTGTTCCGATGAGTTGAACGGGAAAGCCGAAACGATTGCTGGTTTCTTATTGATAGTGTGATTCAAACCCATGTCATTTGTATTGGGTGTTTTTTTATTTCCTATGTTGGCTACGCCGTAATATGCAACCACTTCCCGTTTTATTGTGATTTTGTGAGTGTTTAATGATGTCTTCCTCACCCGTCACGCCATGACCCAGTTTCAACCACACGACCATTTTGCAACAAAGTGCGTGCCCCTCGGCGTGAGCCGACTGACTATATGATCGTTCTGTTCAACTGTTAAGCTAGGATTTTTTACCGTTATTATCATTATATTGTCACATGATTTATTTTACTTTATGTGTAATGTCTTAAGTATCTTTATTGTAATTTGTATATACCAATTCGTATATACCGAGGAATGGACCCCGATTGAAGGTCATGAATTTTGTGACGTCACCAATTCGTGTGTAGATACGGCTTCTAGAACGGTTCCCAAAACTGTGATTGGTCAATACAAATTTTGTTACATTCAAGCTTAGGCGGTATAAACGATGTCTATAGCAGTATAATAATATAAAACGATACTCAATATCAGTAATAATAGTAAACAATAAGCATATCCATTTCTATTCCCGACAAAACTAAATGATTACTGTACAAAATGGTACCTAAATGTCATTGTTAAAAATAAAACAAAAGTGATGATATTTAACAACAGTAATCATAATAAATATGAATTTCAAAATAAATAATGAAGAGATAACATCAGTTTTTGTTATTTAGGAACCATTGGGTCAGTTGATACATAGCTGGGGAGGGAGGTGCCCCTGAGTGCTAAAATGTGTGACCCACATAAAAGCTACAGGAAAGCACGACTCAGACAGTCAACTGACTGCTCGAAATGACTGTCAGTCATGAATTTATGCAAATGCAAGGCGTTAATCCCGAGTTGTTTGTTCAATCTCTAGGTATGTTTATATAATTGCAGAGTTGATGATGTAAGTAATATCATGGAAATGATATTCTGTGAGCTGTTTGTCTGGTCATTTCAGGGGCGATGTTGGCGCTCCACGAAGTGGTCCGGTCGGAGCAAGTGTGGATGGCACGAGCTGAGGTGCATGTAAGGGTGGAGACTGTGTGTAATAATTTCAATAACTTCCTTAGTGTATGTGCCCCCAAAAAAGACGTTCCCAGTTACAGGGCTTGTAAACTTGCTCAATTCTTATTTTTTCAGTGGAAATAGAGGTGAACTAGGTCAGTTACAAGAAGGGAAAATGAATGGTTTCACCCCGTTGTCATTGACAAGTCGAACAAGCTGTGGGTACTGCCCTAGATTAGTTTATTGCCGAATGTGACGGGCCTGGCTGGTCATTATAATAGCGGGGTTCTTTCGAGGGGCTCGTCAACAAATAATTCCCCGACAAATTGCCATGAATATGCGAATGCTTCTCAAATTTAATTTAAGACGTTCTCGACAATTTTAAAATGTGTCTTAAAATAAATAAATTGAAAAAATCCCGCAAAAAATTATATGTTCCCTGAACTATATTCTCGCAATGAAATGATTGTTGACCGACAACATTGCAAAAAAAAAGGTATGCGTGTCCGCGTTTCGTGATGTATAAGCCGCACATATATTCGTGTATATTTGGCGTCGGGCAACTGGGTATGCCCATGCCACACAGCCGTATCAAGAAGTTTATGTTTGTTTGTTTGTTTAATTTGTTGGAGCCTTTTTTTTTCACCTTCCGACAAGACACGCTATGGCACATGTTGTACTGTGCGATACTATACATTGTGTATGTCATTCAAATAAACCACAATTTCCGTTGCAAGCACAGAACTAAATAAGGAGCTTTATGATGCAAGTAAGAAAACTGCTTTAAAAAGATTGCGGGGGCCAGTGAGCATTGAACGTGATTCAATAAGTCCTTTGAAATCCGATAATAGCGTAATGCATCATGTTAGCTTACAGAGTTAACACCTTCGTTTAAAATTATAAAAGCCGTGTACCAAGTAAACAACTCGGCGGACCATGCAAATTACGTTTCCCATGACGCACTGGTACAATCCCTGGGATTGCTGAGCCGCACTTTAAAGAAACAGTGTCTTGAAACCCAAACAAGATAAAAAATTTATGGACATGCTGACTTATCTGAAGTAAAGAAAATATACAATATGAGACTGTAAATTAAAAATGTGTAATACAGCTAACTGAAATGTAATATTCACTTGCATATTGAATAGTAGTACTTCACTTGCAAAATACTTAAAAAACACAATTTATATAACCTAATATAAATTTTCCTAATATAAATAAGTCTGTGTTTTATAATATCTCTTAGTTTGTTATATACCATACAGCACCCACCAATGGTGCAATTGCGTAATATAGTTAATATTATTATTGTTGACTTGTTTATTGACAGCATGCTTTCTCTCTATTACATGTACATGTAGGTATCAGGCGTCGTAAGTGATGAGCCACAGCCTAGCCATTCTGGCGCTCATCCCGAACACAACTATGCACAAAATCAAGGGATGCACATGACAAGCGATGATGATGAGGAAGAGGAGGATGATGATGATAGTGGCGATGAAGAGGAAGACGGGGAGGAGGGTGAATCAATGCCCATGGATCCACAGATCACCCAAGCCTATCTCCAAGGTTAGTTTATATCAATTCAAGGGAAATGCAAATGTGAAATATAATATATTAGGAGTGATCAAACACATCATGCTACTGTGGGAGAGTTTGGGAGTGGGAGACGTAAACAGAAAGCATATCCTGATAATCCACATTTTTAAAGTGTGTATTTATACTTTGAGAGGGAAATAAAACAATTTCCCAGTAGTGAAATCATCTGCCCAAACAATCCATCCTAACAAGCTCAATCAAAAACAGTGGGTCGACCAATACAATCTTACAGAGCTTTTAATGAGAATGACTACATTAATATTATTACAAATATTTTCAGTTTTTACATTAAAATTGTCAGTCAGATAACTAACTATTTGAAACATAGACAAATCCATTCAATATGTAAATGTTAAAAACACTTTGTTATCACATAGAGCCATATATTAATTAAAAATATTCATCAGTGACTGTAAATTATAAAACAAGCCCCTATGTTATTGAATCATGTCCACTCTGTGAAAATAACAAGGTACAATCTCTTTTTGTGACTAAATAAAAGAAATCTGAGTAATTTGCTAATTTCTGAATTTTGTACTTTGACATACCTCTTTTATAAGATTAGGTTGATTAATTCGATAGATAAATGTGGAGATTTGAAATGGGTGAAATTCTTTGGCATACAATGATGTTTAAGGGTGAAGCCTACTCAGGAATGCAAATACCAAGAATTTATTTCAAAATAAATTGTACTTCTGGGCATTATGAGAATACTAATATTGTTAATGATGGCTACTTATTGTGTCCTTGAATTATTTCAAAATCTGGGTTTTATAAAGTGTAAATTTTTCTTTAACATTGTGCTCAATGGAATTGTTCAAAAGTAATGATTTTTGTAAAATATTAGAACAATTGTTTACAAAATACATCACTGAAACCCACAAAAAAATGCTTTTTCATGGTGCCATGAGACAATATCTTAATGATTTTACATAATAGACCAATGAACACTGACATGTGGTTTAAAGCTTAAAGGGAAATCGCTCAATCCCAATTAACTCTGGCTCTGTCCACTTTAAGTAAATGAAACTTATCTTTCTCCCCTGTTCTGCTAATCCCACAAAACAATTACAACTGATATAAACATCCTTTGAATGGATTACAATTTGCGTCGTCGTGATAAAATGATGCGGAAGTATACTAATTCAAGTTGATGATGGCGCACTAGTAAATGCAGCAGTCCACTTGATACTGAACACAAAATCCGCCGACTTGTCATGTTTCCGTTGTGTCGGTCTATTGACGGTACTGATCTCATACTGTAAAACTGAGAATGAACTTTCCTATGCATCCGTATATACACACTATTCCTCCAGACTGCTAATATAACGTCAAGGACGGTCAAGGTTTTTATATTTCTGTCGCAAATCGGTAAAAAAAATATGAATTTACTATTGCCACTAAATTTTCATATAATATCCGAAAATTGGGGGCGACAATGAAAAGGTTTACTGAAGATTATAAGTTGAGGTTACTACACAGGAATTCTCGTGATAAAATAACAAAATAATGTTGAGTAATAAAAAGGCGCAGCGACATTGCGGGCTTATCGTGTAACCTGTTTATAACATTTGCCTGGGAAATCAAAATGTACAGCCTTGTCTTCCATTAATCCCAGCCTGTGTGTGCAAGGTTGGTATCGGATTGTATCTTGTATGAGATTTGAGTTCTTGTGGTCTAGTGGGTGAACGTGAGGTTTACTGTACAGTCAAAATTAATTGAGCGGCGAGAAAGAAGAAAGCGTTCTGTCAAAGCAATTTCACTTAATTTTAACATTCCATGCATCTATAGCGTTTGTAATTATTACAAAATTGATGTTGTTTCAATATTTGGCACCATGGACCTCAACTACTGGTTGTGCTAGTAAAAACAAATGGACATCTTGTTGAGTCGTTTGCAAACTTGATCTGATAAAACGGTTTTATTGATTTATATATCAAAAGCCCAATCAGATGAGTGTACATATTCATACGCCTTTAGAATTGTATTTGAAATCACAGCTTGATCTCTAAACATTGTGAATAGCACATTTCCCGGAGCTCCCGCCACGATGTGAGCGGCTTGGTTCGGATTAGCTTACTAATTGCGGTGGCCATCTTGTCCCTATTTATTGTATCAGTTCCCCTTTAAATCTGTAAAATCATTTCAAGTCTTTAACATACAATTTATGTAGTAACGAAATGAGCCATTAAATTGGAATCAGCAGTTATGGTGTTCACAAGTTATGCGTAATGGAAATTGACTGATTTATATTTTATCTGGAATGTCTAAAATATTGATATGCAGCGCTGTTTCAAATCTAGCTTTGGAACACAACTAGCCTAGGAAATGTCAAATGTTCCATATTCTATGTTTGCTTGAACGCAGTGCCAATATACATGTATGCCATGCAAAATATTTGATCACAGCCAAATCTACATAAATGCTAACGGTAATATTACCGTACAATACCTATTGTCTTCTAGGAGACTTGTCATTCAATGAATTTGCTGCCATGGTTGATGACTCAAATGTTGAAGCTGACGTGGAGATCGGGGCATCGGAAGGTAATATTAGAATACCGCAGTATGATTTGGTGTTCATAGTTTCTAAAGTTCCTGCATATTTAAGTAATCTTGTTAAATTGTATATTATGCATCTGTCATCGTAACACTATAAGTTACAGCGTGCCGTAATTTTGCGGTATTGTACTGGATGTTTTTGCATCCTACCATATAACCATTATGCGCATAAGCATCTTCTAATAATAAAAAAAAAACATGGCTGCCTCAAAGGTTTGACCGGATCCCACACAATGAATTTTGCTAAATCTGTTCTAAACTCGCATAATTCCGCTGTAGTGTCTTCGTTCATACTTTGCAGAATCCTTGTAATAACCTTATATTAGTCAAGCAGTAACTTGATGACCTCCGAAGATGCTCAAAATTTAACCACAGCCGAACTACAGAACTGCTCAGCTATGTTCTGCTATTGGCCTGGCTATATTTATTACAGTACACATATTACTTCACATGTCAATGGATTCAAACACATTCTTGCCAATACGACAACTTTAAGTCACTTGTAGAGTATGTAGAGTACATTGTATCTGTGCATACTTTTAAAAAAAAATCTATGTTTTGGAAAAATATATTTTATTTCATTCTTCTTTTGTGTTTACAGATGTGAGTGCATTTGAAGTAGAAATGCGATTTGACAGAGAACAACGAAAACAGCAACGTAAGATGCAAAAAAGAAGAAACCGTGTTCCTAAAGCTCTGAGGGGATTGATGGGAGAAGCTAATTTGCGCTTTGCACGAAGTGACCATGAAGATGCCATTAAAATGTGTATGGAGATTATACGCCAAGGTGTGTCATTCATGGGTGATAGATGGGGCTGTGTGTTTTATAAACCAAAGCATTCACATCTTGAATGAGTATATGTAGATTTTTATTTTATTCATTTTATTTCAGATAATGTTTCATATGAGAAAAACATTTAAAAATGAAAATTGAACAAAGAGTTGTACTTGTATGTAATAAATTTTTTTTCTTTTTGACCAGCACCAAGTAGTTATGAACCATTTCAACTGCTAGGTATGATATATGAAGATAAAGGAGACATAGAAAGGTCATTACAGGTTAGTATGCAGACATTTTTTTGAAAGATAACTTTCCTAATATATGTTGAACAAAAACCATGTGCTATCAAAGGTTAAAAGTACATAGTATTAATTGAGGAACAAGTTACATTTGTAACTAGTAATTTTCTCGCCAAATTTTGCTTAGATATCTTGTACTAATTTTTTATAGGAACATTTCTAAAATTTATTTTATAGTATTCTATACATTGAGATTAATACTGAAGATGTGGTATTATTTGAGTAATAGGAATATTATTTTTTTTTTACATTTAAATATGATGACTTCATTGTTCTTGTGCCTAAGTAAATATATTATTGCATTTGGGGGAGGGGTCATATTTATTTTTGCCATGCATCGTTAGTCTATATCCATTCATTCATTTGATTCTCAATGGGCAAGGTGGTAATAGTTACACTAGGTTCATTATTTATCTACAGCCTTGCTACTTATGCAGTACTTTAAAAAAAGACATTTTAGCAGTTTTCATGGTATTTCATTTTTTTTGTTCTGCTTGTAGTACAGCTTCAAAATGGTAACAGTGTGAAGCAAAGACAGTGTAAGCAGCTAAAAAATTAAAACAAATATTTTTAGCACTTTGAGTGCCCACAAATGTGTATCCACATGGAGTTGGACAAACTTATGTATTTAATAAATTATTAAATAATAAATTGTTATATAACTCTTCTTTTACCTCCCCCTTCCTGGTATCGATTTCAAGTAATCACTGATCCTTGTTTATACCATTCTTTCCTTTATCACAACTTTGTTACGCGCTAATGTTATATGCAAATTTTAACGCGCGACGTAGACACATCCTATTACATAGTAAAAGTGGGCATTTAATTTATTCATGAGATGCATTAATAAACATGAAATGCTGCGTGCGTGCAAGTGTGATCTCCGACACTCTTCTGTAAAATGGTTTCTACATCAAATGTCGTTCGCATTGCTCTTCGAGATCTTTCTAATGAAAATAATCAACATAGCAGCAGCACAATTCATGGGAAAATTGTTTACTTCTGATCATGTGACAACAATATACGAGTCATTCTTTGCAATAGAGGTCAAAGATCGCAACATCCGGTTTCTGGCTTTACGGTTGTGCTCCTGCCATGTCGCGCAATCGCAATGAGTTTTAATTTGTCAAATATTCAAGTGCAAATGCAATTGTGTCACTTTCTAATGCCATCCATGTCATTACAGATGCCATATATGTAAAGAAAACGAACTTTGAAAGGTTCGAATGCGTGATTTTATGCCACAGTCCTGGCGCGTTTCAACCCTTGGGATATTTTACTATAATAGGGCGTGTCTACATCGCGCGTTAAAATTTGCATCTAACATTAGCGCGTAACAAAGTTGTGATAAAGGAAAGAGTGGTACACAGTCCCTCAACGTTGAGGGACTGTTAGTGGTATAAACACGGATCAGTGATTACTTGAAATCGAGACCAGGAAGTGGGGGGGGGGGTTAAAAGAAAATTTATATAACAATTTATTATTTAATAATTTATTAAAATACATAAGTTTGTCCAACTCCCTGTGGTGTATCTATACTTTTAGCCGCTGGTTAAGAAAGTTTGTGATGCAGTATTTTGCAAGAACAAATTTAAAAGTATTTTATTCCTACATGTTTTTTTTTCCAGTTTTCTTTGATTGCTGCTCATTTAAGTCCTCGTGATGTTGAAGAGTGGATCAAGTTGGCTGAAATGTCGCTGGAACAAGATAACATTAAACAAGCCATCCTGTGCTACAGTAAAGGTAAATAAATGGTTATCACTGCATACAACAAAATTAAAATTGTTATATCTGTTAACATTGTTTGTTGTCCATGAGACTACATATATTGTTGGAGAAAAATGATAAGGACATCTTCTTATGAGAGTGGTAGAAAGGTCAGAAGTCAGGGAGGATAACCCTTTCAACACAATCAATTTTCGTCGCAAACATTTTGTTATTATTTGTCATCATCATCATCATCATTTCCTTGTCTCCTTTGATCTTCTCACATTCTTTTTGCTCTTCTGTGCCCATGTTAAGGCTATTCTTGGTATGTCATTCCTTTCAATGCGTAACACATGTCAAATTCACTTCCACCACCTGTTTTTTTACAATTTCACTTATTGTTTGAATGTTTGCACATTATCTGATTTCCTCATTTGTGATCCACATTGGCCAGTGTATTTTTTTTTTATTTTTTTTTTTAAATTAATTATTTTATAATTATTTGTACTTTTCTATAATTTTTCGTTATAACATAATTATTCATCACTAAAACATCTGGATCAAAAAAATTGTAAAAAAAAATAATAGGAAAACGGTTATTTCATGCAAGGTAAACAAAAGTTGACTTTACCATTCAAAAATTAAGGAATCCCATTTACAGATTTAAAACTGCTAGTATAGTGTTTGCTTGCATCATGCTTGGAAGACTTGAGTTTAACTCTTCCCTGATTGAATAGCAAAGAATCGACCCTCCCCCTGTGTGGGTGGACTGGCTTTGATACTGCATTACAACTTCCACGCTATTATGATAGGATATGGTCACACATATGTACATGTAGTCATTTACATGAATATGGTTTGCATGGCTTAAATGCATCAATTTAACATGAGCTTTTCACAAATAAAAAAAGTCAGAAAAGACAATAGTGACATTAAATGTTGGGAACTGTCACAACAACATAGCACTGTTGGGAATAGGAAACAAATATGCCTCGGTTTATATAAGAAGTTTGCAAATTATATTTTGCATATAAACATGCAGTACATCATAAGAAACCTATGCATATGCATTTTATTGCAATATGTAACATTCAAGCTGGTTGACTGCATGTGCAGCGCACATTTTTAGCTCCGCTGTCGACTTTGTCGAGCAGAGCTTATCGTATGAGTGATAATGTCCATCGTTGTCCGTGTCAATGTTTTACTTTTTCGACTTTTTCTTGAAAACTATAAGCCTGAATGCTTTGATACTTGGTGCATGTGTACCTTGGGTAGACCTCTCTTAGATTTGTTCATTTCATGATAATATCTCCAATTCTCTAATTTTGGTGAATATTTTTGTAATGTTTGGTAAAAAGTGATATTTTCAACTTCTTGTTTAAAACCGCAAGTCCAATTGCTTTCAAATTGATACTACATATATGGGTACTACATGTGGACCTCTCTCAGATTTGTTCATTTTGTAATGATATCTTTAATTCTCTAATTTTGGTGAATATTTTTGACATTTTTGCTAAAAAAAGATATTTTCGACATCTTGTTAAAAACCACAAGTCTGATTGTTTTTATATTACATATATAGGTACTACATGTGGACCTCTCTCAGATTTGTTCATTTTGTAATGATATCTTTAGTTCTCTGATTTTGGTGAATATTTTTGAAATTTTTGCTAAAAAGTGATATTTTCGACTTCTTGTTAAAAACTGCAAGTCCAATTGCTTTGGTATTACATGTATGGGTACTACATGTGGACCTCTCTCAGATTTGTTCATTTCATGATGATATCTTCATTTCTCTAATTTTGATGAATTTTTTTGTAATTTTTGGTAAAAAGTGATATTTTCGACTTCTTGTTGAAAACCGCAAGTCCAATTGCTTTGATATTACATATATAGGTACTACATGTGGACCTCTCTCAGATGTGTTTATTTCGTGATGATATCTTTAATTCTCTAATTTTAGTGAATATTTTTGTAATTTTTTGTTAAAAAGTGATATTTTCGACATCTTGTTAAAAACCACAAGTCTGATTGCTTTTATATTACATATATAGGTACTACATGTGAACCTCTTTCAGATTTGTTAATTTTGTGGTGATATTTTCAATTATCTAATTTTGATGATTATTTTTGTCATTTTTGGTGAAAAGTGATATTTTTGAATTATTGTTAAAAACAGCAAGTCTACATATTTAGGGGCCCAAGCCTGTAGGGCGTGGCCCCTATTCTTATTGTTCGTTTTTTTCTTCTTCATCTTCTTTCTTCTTTATTCTTTCTTCTTTCTTCTTTCTTCTTTCTTCCGTAACTTTTTTCGTCAAGTC